TGAACCTGTTCAGACCGCATGCCTCCTTCTTCTGGCCGCATGGTAGAAGAGGCGGGCATCTCGTGATTTTGCGCACGTGTCGCTATGACGTGTCAGTGCGTTTCCCAAACGTACACCCGCGCCACTACCGTGCCTCCGCTGCGTGACGTTCTGATTGGCTGCGGCAAAGCGGCGAGCCTCGGCAGGCGGCAAAAATTGCTCCGAGAGTCTTGCTGCCTGGTTTTTCTCTTGCTTTCCCACGTTGCCGCTTTGCCGCTTTGGCCGCCCTGCCTTCGGTGTGAACGAGCCTTTAAAGCGTTCTGTCATGCCATCGGTATGAGGATGGTATGCCGAGGTTTTTCGATAGACAGTGCGACATGCATCGAGCAGCTCGTCGACGACGTTCGAGAGAAACACGCGTCCACGGTCACTCAGTAATTCACGAGGTGCACCGTGTCGCAAAATGAGATGGTGAAGAAGAAAGGATGCAACGTCTTCATTGGTGGAAACGTGCTGGGTAACGTCCTGGAGCCCCGCAGCCGTAAGCTGCCATCTGAGTCCGCCATGACCAAGCGTGTCAATCCCCCACAAGCCTCTTTCACATTGCCGCCTGTCATATGCCCTGGTGTACTTCGTCTGCGTGACCCACCAGTATATGATTGATTGATTTGTGGGGTTTAACGTCCCAAAACCACCATATGATTATGAGAGACGCCGTAGTGGAGGGCTCCGGAAATTTCGACCACCTGGTGTTCTTTAACGTGCACCCAAATCTGAGCACACCGGTCTACAACATTTCCGCCTCCATCAGAAATGCAGCCGCCGCAGCCGGGATTTGATCCCGCGACCTGCAGGTCAGCAGCCGAGTACCTTAGCCACTAAACCACCGCGGCGGGGGGACCCACCAGTATACAACGGCACTGAAGATCAAGATGTCGAGGACTGGCTGGCAGAGTACGAGCGTGCCAGCGTGATTAACAAGTGGGATGACCCTGCGAAGCTGACTCACGTCTTCTACCTGACGGATCTGGCCAACCTATGGTTCGCTGACATCCCCACCCGGCCTCTTTGAAAACCGACATCCCCACCTGGTCGGTTTTCAAAGAGGCCGTGACCTCGTTTTTCGGTCGTCCAGCCATGCGCAAGCTTCATGCTGAACTGGGCCTGCGGGAACGATTTCAGCGAAATTGTGAGAGCTTCACGAGCTACATTGAGGACGTGATCAGCCTCTGTAGACGAGTTGATGCGAGGATGACGGATGCTGACAGAATAAAGAATATATTGAAAGGCATTGATGGCGACGCTTTTCATATGCGTGTGGCCAAAGACCAACAGACCGTCACGGCCGTGATTCAGCTCTGTTCAAAGTTTCCATGAGCTGCGCAAGCAACGAATTTCTACACGTCGTGCTAATACGCAAACAGCGGAATATTTCGGCTTTGGAGTGTAAAAACAGTGGCCCCGACTACAACGTGTTAATGCCTCAAATTCGACAGTACATTTGGGAGAAAGTTGCTCTACAGCTCTCTCTTGGCCGCCACTGACGAAATTTCCAAGGCCTCATCTTTCGCCCCCTAACGAGATTGCCGTGTTTGTGGACGGTTTCGCCACCATTGCTCTTGTCGACACAGGTGCGCTATTTGTATAATCAGTGAAGTGTTATGCCGAAAACTGAACAAAGTGACGACTCCACTGGTTGAAATTTCTTTACGCACAGCGAGTTCGCAACACGTCCAACCTTTTGCCACATGCTCTGCTCGTGTTGTGGTTCAAGGAGTGCTTTACATCGTTGAATTTGTCGTCATTCCGCATGCGTCTCATGAATTCATCCTGAGATGAAACTTTCCGCTAATCATGCGGTTGTCGACTGCGCTCGTGCTCAACTCGTTTTGTTTCCATTCAGCACGACATTCATAGATCTCCCTCGCTCACCCAAAAAGATGAACGTCGCCGCTGTCGTCATCTCTGCTTTTTCGGTCGCCGCGGTATCTCTTTTGTGCAACGTTCGTTCCTGATGCAACTGCCCTCTTTATGCCGTCACAAGAATGCGCTCGTCGCCGGAACCTTGTCGTCCCGTTTGCCGTCATAACGCTTGCCGATGGTTCCAGTGCCGTGTAGGTGTGCAATCTGTTCCCTTGTCCTGCTACCTTATTACATGGCGAATGTATTGGGCATCTTGACGCTTATGATGCCATCTTTCCTTTCCATGCCCCTTCCGATACGACGCCCATGTTCATGGATGCTGTCACGGCTGCCACCGCACCCTCATTACCTGACGAAGACGTTCTGTCGCGCAGTGTGGACACCGGGCTTACGCAAGACTAGCGCAATCAGCTCATTCAACTACTTGACCGTTTCCGCGCCTCCTTCAACCACGGACAACCTCCCTTGGCACGCACGTCAGTTGTCGCTCGCCTTATCGGCACCGGTCATAATAATCCACTTCGTCAGCGCCCCTACCGCATCTGGCAGGCTGAGCGTGACGTCATCACTCAACACATCGACGAGATGCTGCAACGGGGTGTTATTCAACACTCACACAGTCCTCGGGCTTTGCCAGTGGTCCTCGTGCGAAAAAAGATGGCTCCATCAGGTTTTGCGTGGATTATCATCGACTAAACAAGATCACACGCAAGGATGTTTATCCCCTGCCACGCATTGATGACGCCTTGGATCGCCTTCAAGGTGCGGAGTTTTTCTCTTCACAGGATCTGCGCTCTGGATATTGGCAAGTGCCAATGGCCGAACCAGACCGTCCAAAAACGGCGTTTGTGACCCCTGACGGCTTATATAAATTTAATGTAATGCCCTTCGGTCTTTGCAATGCGCCTGCGACTTTTAAAAGAATGATGGACAGTGTCCTCAGGGCACTTAAATGGCACATCTGCCTTTGCTATTTAGACAACATAGTTGTATTCTTGGTGAATTTCAAAACTCATCTTTCCTGTCTGGAACAAGTTCTCCAGTGCCTTACGGCAGCCGGGTCGCAACTAAACTTCAAGAAATGTCGTTTTGGCGCCCGCGAACTCGCAATTCTCGGCCACATCGTTTTCGTTTCAAAAGAAGGAATATCACCAGACCCTACCAAACTGCGTGCTGTTGCCGAGTGCCCTAAGCCTACTACCCAGCACCTCCACCAAATGCAACGAGCGAGCTTAAGTAAAAACACAGGTTATTATTCAAGAAGCGTTAGCCGCAACAAGCTGGTATAGGCAGGAACCCGGCCAACACGAGCCACCCACAGACGTCAACGTCTTCTTTCACGTTGGCATAGAGCTCTGGCGCCACTATGATCTGGTATTATATATATATATATATATATACACACACACACACACACACACATATATATATACACACACACACACACACACACACATATATATATATATATATATATATATATATATATATATATATATATATAGATAGGTGTATATACATACATACAGCAAATTTAAGACGATGTTTTGTATTATAAGCGTAGTTCTACTATTATTATGAAAGGTGTAGGCAGGCAGTGGTGCATCTTGTTTTGAGAAATTCACCTTCCTTTTATATGTACACAGTAAACACACACGTGTGCGCGCATGTGCGCACACACACCTACACACACACACACACACACACACACACACACACACACACACACGCACGCACACACACACACATACGCACACACACACACACACACACACACACACACACACACACACTTCACACTTATGAAAGTGTAAATTTATTTCGGGGCTCATTCTCTTTGTTAGATGCACTATTTATCAGAACAGACAGACAATGATGTCGAGAAAACTATAGGGAATTGTATTTTAAGCAATTATAATGTAAATGTAAAGAATGAAAGCGGATGAAAAGATACCTTGCCACTGGCAGGATTCGTACCTGCGACCCTCAAATAACGAGTCCGATGCTCTACCACTGAGCTACAGTGGCGGTCATCCCCCCATCCACTTTGTAGGCTATATACATGCATATAAATGTGCACAGTATGACTGTGCACTGCTGGAATCGTAAGTAAGCTTCCGCGCGAGCTGTGCATAGAGTGAGCCCCTTCAACCAATCTCATTGCACCTTTCAGCACTACCCCTAGACAGCATCGATTCAGGCATCGCAATGTCTTTAATCCGCCATTCGTAGGTCGTGTATCCATAAGATGCAGTCCAGTTTCAGCAAATAGGCCAGGCTGGCTTCTGGTGAACTCCTCGGTTTGCTTGTCACTGAAAGGGTCTTACAGAAAATGAAGGAAAGGGCTCTTAGTACTGTAGCTGAGGTCCCTTATCAAGAGGTCAGACAGCTGGCTGTGCCATATGATGTGCACATGTTGGTGCACAACCTGAAGCATGTTGGAGGCAGACAGGGCATTATGTTGGTCTTTGAGATCCTATAAGCTCGGAGGGCTATGCTGTCAAATAGAAAGAAATAGCAGTATGAGAGAACTCTGCGTGGGCTATTTTGCATGAAATGTGATGAAGGCGTAGTCTAAGAGACTCCTCTTACATGTGGCCATTGCTACATATGACAAACCAGAAGGTGTTTAAGTCATTGGATCAAGTATTGTTAAACAAAATAAAGGCCCATATTTGCCTGAGCATATTAGAAATCGGCCATCAAGATCTTGTGAACTGTGCTTTTCTTACATGAAGGTTATCGCCACGAGCAAAGATAAAACAGCTAGAGAACAGATGTAAAAGTTTTGTATTGACATAAAATGTGACACATGCATTTGTGACACTTGTATAATACTGTATAAATCTGATAAAATGTTTATTGAGCGTGCATTATCTGATCACCATTGATGTGAACATGTTTTCTGATCACACGGTGAGGATGTATGTGTACAGAAAGATCAGCTTCCAGTATCCTCCTATGTAGCGTCCTTGTTTCCGATTGTTTCTTGGCGCTTTAAAATCAAATGTAAGATATACAGGGACAGCTTTGGAACTTCCGATTCTTCACTCCCCATGCAAAGAGAGAGAAAGATGTATATTGCCATCCTTGTGCAGGTTGGTGTTTGAGAGCAGTGGGCAGAGTGTGAGTGGATCTGTGGTGCATGTTGACGGCCACGTGGTGCTGCGGGTGTCTAGCTCTGAGTGGGGCATACGGAAGCAGCTTGTCAGCGCTACTGACCGCAGTGCAGCTGCAGCTGTGGCATCTGTGCTGGCCAGGCGCTGCCTTGAAGCAGGCCTCCTGTGTGTAGAGGCTCCCACTGGTGATGGTGATCAGCAAGGCTCCCTGCGGGTGAGTGGGCCTTTCGAACCTCAGCTTTTCTTTGACACCACTGGAAGGAAAGGCCGAGCCTTTCCTTTTGTTTAATTTTCTTTAAATTTTGTTCAATTTCGCTGCAACACATCGCAGTAGTGTGACGTCATGAACCGGTAAGCTTTTTCTCATATTTGGGGGTTTAAAAAAAGTTCTTGCAGCTTGCAAAGTTCAGTGGTGGCTTCCTTGTAATAAGCCTTCATTAATGAGCAGTTGCTCTGGTGCCACTAATATCCACAATATGTGGGAATTTGAAGATGGCATTGCAACCTTTCCCTGTTTTGTTTTTGTCACTGTATTACTGCTTTTCTTGGAGGAATGTTGCCATCTTTAGTATAAAAGTATGTTTTACTGGTGCAGCCTCAGTGTTGCATCGAAGGGGCCGTTACATGCTCACCCAACAATTTCTAGTGTTCAGCGAAAATTAAAATAAGGTGGTCTCTAATGCTAGTACATAAATGAAAAGTGAGCCGTAAAAGAATATTTCAGTGTAAGACAGGCTCTAAAAATGGCTGGCTGTAAATGCTGCCCACCACTGGTGACCGCCATTTTGCAAAAGCGCCTGTAACATTACATGCAGCGAGGAGCGATACCGTTGTCTTCTAGCACAGTTTCAGCTGCTGCAAATAATTCAATTTCAGTGCAGGTGATGATGATGATTGCAGATTTACTGGCATAGGCGATTCCTTGCAGTCCAAGCTACATAGGTCATATAGAGAGGTTACAATTTGCAAGCAGCAGTGCATTTGGCACACTAAGAAAAGAATGGGCCTAAAACTGCAAAAACGAAAGAAAGCAGAGGCATTAAGTTTTCTGTTGGGAAAGCTTTATGTGGTCAGGGACGTCTTAGTGGTGTCGTCATGCCTGAAGTAAAAAATTTGCAAAAAGTGAGCATTACTATTTTCAGTGCTAAATCTGCTTCGGTGAGATGAAGAGTGGCTCATGACCATAATGATAGTAAAATAACTGCTATAGCTCTCATTGTTATGGAGAAAAAGGTACATAAACTTCGCCTAAAGTACATTGCGGGTATAGGGCGTATCCCGTTCCCTTAAAGTTAAAGATGTTAAAGGGGCGTTAAATGTTTTCCAAAAATTTTCAACTATGTTTGTATTCAGAATTCTGGCTGTCTTTTCAATGCTATACCTTGACTTGTTTGATTGTCTGGACTCGCTAAATAGCTAAAAAAGTGCAATTTCAGTTTCCCAGCTAATGTTTTCATCAACTGGGTAGCTGACGTCACTTTTAAGAGTCTCTGTCGTCGGCACAGCGTGGCTATGCATTGATGTATTTGAGCCTTAGTTGACCGCAGTTTGCAGCATAATACTGTTTTCATTACGGCGCCGTCACCACCACGATACCATAACGTCACAAACACACAGCGTTGGATGGCCAACCTTCTCGAACTACAGCGTCATCTGCTAGAGCAAAGTCGGCTTTTGGGCTTTGAGCCGTATGCCAACGCACCTATGCGAGTGCAAGATCGGCCATCATCAGAGCAAGACGGCGGCAGCGACGGCGAAAAAGCCTGCGCCCTGGAATCATTTGTATCCGGACCGCGTGGCCGGATAGCAAGTTGAACTTCTGAGCTGTGCAGACGTGTCTTTGCGCCCTCTGCCAGCTTGGCAGATTTCACTATACAGCGATATGGGTTTAGCCATCGAGGAAGAAGAGCGAGAGAAAGGCTCTGGCCCCCACTGAAAGCAGCTTTCTGTCTGAACGCTGGATGAGGATTCAGCCTCCTCAGTCTTCACGATTGAGGAGTTGCAGCGAGAGTTACCCACGGCCGAAACAGAGGAACTTCGGCGCCAGTGCCGCGAGCTCTGTAGACAGGCTCTAATGGACCTGACGAGGCAGGAGCAGGCGAAGAAGCAACAGCAGCTGCTTCAAGAGCCACAGGTGGTGGGCTACATTAGCAGGTAGATGGAGAAGGTGCAGGAGCACTTCCCGACACTGCAACCTCCGACACCTGCCCCAAACACCCCGACAGCAGCCACGACCATTCCCGACCTCGTGGGTGTTGCAGCCACCACAAGCCGTGCTGCCGATGAACCGGCTTCGTCTGCGCTGCCTAGCAGCTCAGTCTCCCTGGTCGCCACGCCGCGCCTTCGCTTGAGCCCTCCTCTGTCTGCAGGGACGACTACGTGACAGTTGTCTCGAAGGCAGCCCAGCAGCAAGCAAGGACATTGGAGGCCACAGTCATTGCGACCGATTTTGCAGTGGTGGTGACTGTACTCTACCATCTCACGACCCCTGGGGGCTCGTTCACAGGATCGCCACTTTTGACATTCGCGGCTGCGGTTGCTAAGCGGCCCAGGTAAACGGCGGTGCGCATTAACCATTGCTGAAACATCGTAGCTGCAGATGCGACGACGCTAGTGTGCTTGTCTGAGGTCCTGACCATCAAGGAGCTCAGCAGCGTTCCCGTCACTGCCAGGAAGCCTGCGGATTCTCGCAGTAGCGTCGCCTTCCTTCACAGCGTGGACGGTGACCTCACGGACTTGCAGCTGACCGCGGGACTCGTGTCGACAATTGTGGTCCTGGCAGCGAGCAAGGCAAGACAGACGGCAGTTGTGGTCCTGGCAGCGAGCAAGGCAAGACAGACGGTGCGGTTGAATTTCGTCGCCAGCTTACTACCGGATTGTGGTCTACAGCTGCGGGTGCGGCACGTTGGGCTGCGTCCACTACTCTGTCGGCAATGCGGGTGCTTTGGGCGCGTCTTCGAGGCATGCTCACATGCTGGCGCCTGTATCAGAAGCAACCGTCAACATCCGGCCGCCACTACCTGCCGTCACCGCTGTGTCAACTGCAAAAGGGGGCATCCTGCTGGCACGCTCACCTGTCTTCGCTGGCAGAAAGAGCGGAAAGTGGCCACTCTGCTGGCCTCGGTACCAAAGCCACTTTTGTGTTGCTTCTGTGTTGCTGCAATCAAGGCCAACCTTCTCGAGAGCCCCACCTAAGATCCCGGCTTGCAGCGCCCCACTCCAGTGACGCACCATCTACCCTGCCGCTGGTGAGCCCGTCCACTACGAGCCCACCTCCTGCTACACCCGCCAAGCCTCTCGAGGAGCCAAGTGACGCCCTCATTGGTGACCTCCTGGCGACTCTCCAGGCTGTTATGCAGTTCCTCCCTGAAAATCACATACTGCAGAATTCCTGCCTTCAAGCAGTGAGTGCAGGACTAGCTGGCGTGACTAAAGTCGCCCTTCGGCGATCCCACCACTCCTTCGAGACGCCCCCACAGGCCTCATTTCCAGCTGTTCCAGACTTCGTCTGCTACAGCCGAATGCCATTCCTGCCGTGACGGACTCGCTGCTGCCTTCTTCTGCGCCTTGCCTTTTTCTCATCTATCTTGTTCACCCCTATCCCCTTCAAGATGCTGCACCATGCTCCCTTAAGGGCTGCGGAAATTGGGCGTCTCTTCCTACCTCTAACCACAACCACCACCACCGCGTGGCAGAACCACCGTTTGCGGAAGCCCCGACCACGAGCCTCTACTACCACCGGGACCATTGTGGTTTATAGTTCGTAGCCACACTGCTCTGCGCTGTTGCTGGGAAGCTTGTAAAAGTGGACGTTGTTGGCACTTTCATAAGCTATGTGGCACTGTCTGATGACACACACAGTTGACATAGTGAGGACTAAGCCATCCAGAACTTGCAGTAGAAGACAACCTGAAGCAACAAGAAAAAAAAAAAAACTAGGACGCTGCACTGGCTGTACTGATCAAGCCGAGGCAACTGGCTAGAAGGCTATGATACACACATGACAGAGCCTGGATGTACTTGGAAGTGGAACTGAGCAGTAATTACATAGCATGCAATTCAGAGAGCAAAAAGTGTTCTGTTATTTTCCTATTTTGTAGGTTTCTGTAAATTTATTTCTTTAGATCAAAATAAAGCTCTTTGTTTGTAACTTCTTTTACCCTGATGTTTCACTGACGTCACATTGTAGAGCATATAGGGGCTAATGGTGTCGCATGGTTGCTAGCGAGTTGAAAAAACTGTGGTTTCAAATGGGTGTCGTCAATTACAGACTGGGTGTTTTCCTGAAATGTTTCGGAAGTAGGGAAAATTGCAACCCGGAATTTAAATTTTCATTTCACGACCCCTAATGTTGCATGTATATGACCGATTGTGAGTGTGCACCCTCTTGGTGCCTGTTACATTTTTCAGTAGCATATCTTCCCATTTTTGGCTTTACTGTGGGCAATTTGTTCCCATTTGCTGCGTTATATTCCTCTTTCATTTGCTTACGCATTCGGTTTCCGATGAGTGGCCTTAGGTCTCCATGACGACAGTTATAGTGCGAGAACAAAACGACGACACAGAGACAAGAAGGACACGAAAGTGTTGCATGTATATGACCGATTGTGAGTGTGCACCATCTTGGTGCCTGTTACATTTTTCAGTAGCATATCTTCCCATTTTTGGCTTCTGTCTTTCGTGTCCTTCTTGTCTCTGTGTCATCGTTTTGTTCTCGTGCTATAACTATCGTGATGTCATACCAACTAGCCCAAGCTGCCACACTTCTCAGGTCCCCAGACAGGAAGACATCTACGTCTGCTGATGGGCGGAGTGGAGCAGACAGTGCAAGCTGGTCTGCTGCCTCATTGCCAGCAGTCAAGTCTCTACAGCCGTTTGTGGCTGTAGACGATTTCTTTAACTCAAGAGAATAAGAACAAGTTAACAGATGTAGCTCGGTTGTTGGAGTCACTACCAGCCCATGTTCAACACAGGGCTCGAACTTGTGCCACAACGCCTTTCAGTCGCACGCGCACTTCGTTGTTGTCATCTTCTAAGGTGTCATATCACTCTTCTTCCCTTAGACAAAGTCTCCATAGCAGTCTGGAGGGCGCCTAACTTCTGGCCGTCGTAGTTGCCAGTCGGTCACTGGCTGTGATGTCGATGGTTGCAAGGGAGTGTTGTCCTGCATAACGGATGAGTCGGACGGTTGAGTAGCAGAGCTTGACGGTGTCT